GATAATCAGTTTTTTTGTGGAGTATCCTCATTGACATTATATTTCATTGAAAGTTCTCAAATTTCACGAAAAAATAGGTATCTCTTCACCATATAGTGTTTCGAATTCGATAAGAATGCTTGTCGCATTTTACGATGAATGAACCCAGTGTATCTCATGAACAGATGTATATTTTTTGCTGAAATTTGAAAACTTTCAATGAAATATAATGTCAATGAGGATACTCCACAAAAAAACTGATTATCACCTAAAAAACCCAAATCCTAAAAACTTGATTTTGGAAAAACCAACTTCCTTTCTAAAAAGTTAAACTCATTTTTTTTTTCATAAAGACTCATCATATCAGTCTAACATCATTTTCCATAAGTTTCATGTTGATCCAATGTTCCGGAGCTGAGATCTAATGATCAAAAAAATGCTAAACTCGCCAATGATATCTATTTTTTTTTTGACGGCTTCAAATCGAGCTGAGCCACTGGATATTAATGCAACATGAATAAAGAAATATTTTTTGTAGCGGATGAAAAAAGAAATTTCGAAGTTGAAACATAAAAAAGTTATATTTACCAAAAAAGAATTTTTTCTATGTATTTTACATGAAGTATTCTTATTAGGAACATTTTTTGGTTAGCTGTTTTTATTAAGTACAGTGTTCCTAATTCGAACATTCAAGTGCTTTTCTCTAGTGTAAATAACTCAGTCAAGGTAATTAGAAAAAATCTGAACCACTGGGTTAAAATTCCTTGATTAATAAAGAACATTTTTTGCCATTGAAGTATTTCAAAATTTTCAATTTTTCTTTCATAGTAAAAAAGTTGTTTTACTAAAGTTTTCTTTTCTTCCATGTATTGTATATAGAATGTTCTTATTAGGAACATTTTTTTGCTTGTTTTTTTTATTAGGAACAGGGCCCCTAATAAGAACAAATTCAATCGTTCTCAAACTACCGCTAATTACTCAATCATGTATAATGAAGTAGAAAAAAAAATTACTTTTTAAGTGTCAAAAAAACTGTTCTTATTAGGAACATTGATTGTATCTAAAAAAATGAAAAAGAGACTATAGAATAGGGACGTCAACTTATATTTACCTTTTATTTAATTTCCGCGTAAATTAAATTAAATGATAAGTAATTCATAATAAATGTAAATTTCTCAAAATTTATATTTATTATAAAGTAAACAATAAATGACACCCCTACTATACCATGTGCCTTCAGTATATCCAACTGCATCCACCTTCGATAGATGTAGTGAGAGACACCTATTGATATAGTTTTCGACGTTGATTTTATCTGATCAGTAACATAACTTTTGAAATATGCGAAATATACAAGTCCTAATCGCAAACGTTTAATTTCGTAGTAAACGATATATTTCAACTGAATACTTTCAGTTGGAAAATAAAAACTCTTTCTCTTTTGGTATTGTCTATCGATGACCAACGCATTCTTTTCGACACTTGATTAACTGAAAATAATTTTTTTGCACTTTTTCGTGGTTAAGACTATGTTCTTTCTGATCATATAAATCGATCTTAACTTCAGTATTAATGTATCGATCAAATTTAGAAAACACTAGCTAAACATTCACTTTAATCATTTGTTTGTTCCGGCATATTCAAATGATGAACATTTGGAAAAAATATCGTTTAAACTAATTGTGGAAGAAAAACTATTGATTATTGAACGTGACCAAAGTTTGATTGAACAAGCAAAAAAATTCTTGATGGATCCAACAGGTCAATTGATGAACTACAAAATATTTTCTAAAAAATAAATCAAACAATAGCATCAAATCGTTCAGGTAAAAACTAAATTAGATAATCAAGTTTTTTTCTGTATACTTTTATTTTCTTTTCTTTTTTTGTTGAAGAAGAAATTATGGTGAAAGTCGAACCATCATTATCAGAAACTAAATATTGCTCTTGTGTTTGTAAATGTAATAAGGAAAACATGGATTCAAATGGTAAAATGAAATTTCTCTTTAAAATATTTTTTTTCTTTTCATTATATTTATTCTCATTTGTTTCGATCGAACCAAAAATACTGGTGTTTAACGAGACAGCTAGCCAAATTTATTAATCATCATTTGAACTTATATTGACATCAGAAATATTTCTTAGTAAAACTAGTTGTAGTTAACAGGGCTCGAAACGGGCCTCCCGGCCCGGCCCGGCCTGACCCAACACGGCCTGGGCCGAGCCAATAAACTTGTTCTGCTGGGCCGGGCAGGCCAATTGAAAAGGATCAATGGGCCGGGCAGGCCGATGATTTTGTTGGGCGGCCCGGCCCGAGCAGATTTTTTTTATAAATTTTATAGATGTCATAAGGGTCACGAATTATTGTGACAATACATATCATAGAAATGTCTATGAAAGTATCATTGGTTATTGCAGTAAATCAACAACTTCTTTACTTATATAATTTGTTGTTTGTTTTTCTTCTTCATAATGGTTTTCACATGTAATAAACAAAACTTTTCTGTTCATTGTTTTTTAGATAAACTTTAATCGTGAGATATGTATGATTGTGAACCTGATGAAGATAGTGTTACACTATTATCCACAGATGAACCAACTGATACACAAGTTCATTCTTCAAATGTGAACAAAGAAACTTATCGTGCTGGTCAAATTGAACAGTTATTAAGAATGTCAAAAGTTTCACAAAAATATATTGTTATTAACAATTCATCTGATTACAAAAAGTCCACCGCGTGGAACACGTTTGGATTTCCAGCAAAATCAAAACAAAAAGGAGAACATGAAATTATTCCAGGTTTTGTTAGTTGTTTTCATTGTTTCAAAACACTACAATATAATGGCAGTACTAAGTATATGATTAAACACCAATGTTCTAATGCAAATTCATCTGGTATTGAAAATCATTCTGTACAACAAACGATTGATAAATTCGTAGGAAAACAAATTATTGTTCACAAGCATGATCGAGAAAAACTTAAAGAAAAAATCGTTTGCTGGTCTTGTTCATCAATTAGACCGTTTACTGTCGTAGAAGATTCTGGTTTCATCAACATAATGAAAGAAGCAATTATTCTTGGTGAGTTTAATTTAAATTTTGAAGAATAAGAACTTTTTTAATCGATAGGTTCAAAATATGGTGGTGATTTAAATATTGAAAGTGTTATTCCAACAGCAAAAACTGTTGCGAATAATGTTCGTCATCTTGCTGAAGATTATCGACGTAAATTAAAGTCGACTCTTATTTGTCAAGCCGAAGCCAGATGTTTAAACATTATTCCAGACCTCTGGTCTGACAAGCATCGAAAAATTAGCTATATTGGTTTAACATGTGCATTTGTGAATACATCATGTCAATTAATAGTAATTGATTTGTGTTGTGGAGAATACGACGACATGGATAAAACAGGTCGAAGTGTTTTTTTAGTAAGTTATTCATTATTACTTTTTTTAAATGTATACTTTGTTTTTTTCCAAGGAAATTCGTAAACAATTGGTAATGTTTGGTTTGGAATCTTATTTCAACCAAAAAAACTAATGTTCATGTCGGATCATGGATCAAATATTATTAAAGCATTAGAAGGTCAAGATGTATTGTTTTGCTTTGGACACCGAATCAATAACGTACTACAACGACCATTTTATCAAATAGTTCTGAAGAAAAAAAAACAGAAAACACTATATTGCCAATTACGCCATCAAAACGTCGTCAATATATTCAAGATTCATCAGATGAAGATTGCGATTCAGACGATGATGACATATGCAAAAAGCCATCGCCATCAAAACATCCTGAAGCTGTTACTCTTTTGGCAAAATTGCCCGATAAACCAAAAGAGCTGCTCGATGTAATTACTGCATCGAAGTCGTTGGTCAAATATGTTAAACTGGTTTGTTTTTTCTTTTACTAAATTAAAGACATTTTAATGATGATTGTACTAGACTGGTTTAAATAAAGATATTCAGAAAAAATAATGGTATTGCACTGCAACAATCGAACATAACAATATGGTTATCCATGTCTTCGTTATTAAAATCTTTGAAGGCATCTGTCGAAGATGTTCAATCTCTAATATCAACCAAGTCAACAGCAGAAAAACAAAAAGTTAATTTGAATAAAATAAATATTGATGGCGTCAAGGATCTTGTTCATTTGCTTGAAACATTTCAAGATGTTTTTAAATTAATTCAAACCGGTGATCGTCCAACACTTCACATGGTATATGTTGGTATGAACAAGCTAAAATTGCATTTGGATGGAAAAGATATTGATACTAATGGGGATTTAATATTGATAGATGATCGTCATGAAGATAATTTTGTTTTAAAGTTATGTTCACATGAGTTTTGTTTTTTAGGTATCGATTTCTATCGACAACGAATTAAACAATTGTTATTCTTAATGTTTCACTTTGATAAGAAACACTTAGCTGCGGCACTTTTACATCCTCAGTATCGAAAATTGTCGTTTATTGATGATTATAAGAGAAGCGAAACACACATCTATGTCCAACAATTAATAACTGAATTACGCGATTGTCAATCAGGTCAACAACAAATGGAGTCGATAGCAGCATCTTCAGAACCTTTAAAAAAGAAGCATAAGACCATCGAAGAGCAGTTTATTGATCCGGAAGATGCTGATAATGATACATTTAGTTCAGATTCAACTTCAACAAGAAACCAAGTAGATGAACTCAATATTTATTTAAAAATGTCAATAGATGATAAATTTAAAGCACCAAATCCTCTGCCATTTTGGCACCATTACCAGAATAAACTACCGTGTCTAGCCAAACTGGCTAGACGATTGTACTCGATACCTGCAACTTCAGCAGATGTGGAGCGGCAGTTCAGCGCTGTTGGAGTTCTTGTTAATGAACGAAGAGCCTCATTGAATCCAGATACAGTAGAAGATGTTCTCTTTGTTCGTTCCATACAAAAAGCATTGATGAAGAACCCTAATTTGCTCTCAGATAATTGTTGATCTTTTTGGTCTGAAATGTATTTTTCTACTTGTTCTACATCTAATTGCTTGTGGTTGTACTTGTTAAACTTTTTTGTTATTACATTAATGATAAAATGTTATTAGATTCATCAATAAATCATTGATATACACCATCGAAATGCCTTCTAAAATACGACGTTTATTTTATAATTATTGCTGATAAATCTAGTTTTTTAAAAGAATTTCCTTGGACCGATGCCGAGCCAGGCCGGGCGGTCCGAGAAATTGGACAGGCCGGGCCGGGCAGGCCAAAGGCATGACGAATTGGGCTTGGGTGGGCGGCGAAATTGAAGCCCGGTCGTGGACCGGATCGGGCCAGAAATTAGTGGCCCATTTCGAGCCCTGGTAGTTAATGAACCAAGTCATGGCTTTTCTATCGAATTTTCGGTCTGCAAGTATTCACAGATATAAGTTTGATGACCTTTAGAATATTCGAAAAGTGTCAGCTGCAAAAACAAACGTCTACTTATCGAAATATTATATTTCCAAGTACATTTCTTTCATGTTTTTTCTACTCTTACCAAGTCATTTAGTTTCCTCGCAGAATAATAAAACCCTTCGAAATATAAGTTTTTTTGCATGTTTAGATATAGTGGAAGAATTGGGCATCTCAAAAAGTAAGTTGAATTTACTTTAACTTTAAAAAGAAAAACAACTATGATTGGTTTAATATGATGAATATTCAACAGATATCAATCATGATCTTATTGATACTGTTGTATTTGAGTAAGTTTCTTGTTTTTTATTAGGAAAGAGTCGAAATTGATTACATATTTTTCTTTCTTTTAGCGAAAGAACGAAATTTATTGAGGTAAAAATAATGATATAGATGGAAGGATCGATAAAGTCACTTTTTGGATTGAAATATATCAAATATTGTCAAATCATTTATAATTACTCACTAAACATAGCAGTATAACCTTATTTGTTCTTATCGAATGTTGTTAAACAGAAAAAAAAATAAACAAGTTCTAAATAGTGTCACTAGATACATCATCGAGTGCCAAACAGTTCGAATCGAGTTCTGATGTGATTCAACAGATTTTCTTCTATGCATTACCATAGAAAAACGAGAATTTTTGCAAACTGGTATAGTTGTATTTGTTTTTCCTTGCTGCGCTTTATGCTTGGCATAATCGTTTATGTATTCTATTGCACAGTATCTACTTGGACTTGTCTGAGAGTTTTGGGACATTTAAAGAGATCTGATTCAAAAGTTTTCTGTTTAAATTAGAAATCATGGATATGATGTTTCTCGGTAAAATTTCGTTCTAAACCCAGCAACAAGAAATAGTTAAATTAGAAAAATGTTAGTAGTAAATAAAAAACCCGTATATTCAATACAAGTTATTTAAAATAGTATATTTCTGAATCGATGAGGGTGTGGGTATGTGTGGGTGTGGGTCAGGTATCGTGAAGCAGTACACACATGCAAACCCACACCCACACCCACATCTACATACCCACACTCACATCTGCACCCACATCCACACCCTTTCTACAGAAATATTGGATTTGTTCATTGATTATGAAGATTTTTATGCAAACGTATGTAGTAGAAAGAGGAACTTTCCTTTAAAAAAATCATCTAGAAATAGTTTTTACTTTGTTTTCTTTGAATCCATCAGCAATATGTTGTGCCACAGTATCTCCGATTTTATTAGGTTGAAGTCGTAGATCCGTAAGTGACTATATAAAATAATTGAAAAAAATAATTATGAACAGAAGTTTGAGATACATTTGACAAAGAAAAAGAAAGTCTATAAAACTGTTATGTAATAAATTCTTTTATCTTAATTAATGATGACTTCTCGAATTGAAAAGTAAAAGAAATTTTCGCTTATAAAATAAGCAGTCACAGTGAAGTTGTCTAACGTTTTCGGTTTTGGCACAGAAAAATCAGTTTCTACGAATTTCTTATGATTTTTAAATAGACTGAAGATGATTGTGTTTAGTTTGATATTTGAAATAATTCACGAATAGATTTTCAATTGACATATTATCACTGACAAAACAACACATTAGTATTTAAAAATTGATCGAATTTCTTTTAATTGCTAATAGATAGAACAAGAGATTGTTAAAAAAATTTTCAGTGAAATACTCGTGTGAGAAAGACTTTGAAAAAAAAGTTGATTTCTCAATGATTTAAAGAATATTCTGTGATTATTAGATTATCCAGATGATGAATAAATAATCAATATACAACATTGTGTATAGTCATTTCAGTTCTAATCTCATTTGATTGAAACGTTATAAAAATATTTCTCTAAAATTATGGAATAAAAGTGTTGATTTTTCATTACTAAATAAATATATAAGATTAGAACAAATTAGAAAATTTTCAATTCGAAAAATTCATTATTTATTTCATAGGAGAAAATTTATTATTTAACATTGTAGAGTATCTTTTAATATGATATTTATTTTACCAATATTGACTTCGAATAGAATTTAATTGGAATTTGATGATCTTAAGTGATAATTTAAGTTATATTTAAATTTGATGAAATTCAATGAAACTTAATTGTAACTTGACTTCTATAAATACATCAATAACATAAATTAAATTAGATTTCCACGAAAAAAAGAATACTTCTACAATGGAAATCTTTCTTTGAATGAGAAGAGAATTATACAAAGAAAACAACAAAAAACATATGAAATTTATCAAACAAATGTTAACTCAAATCGATTTATTATATTGCTCTTAATATTTTAATAGATGTAAAACAGTAATAATATTTTTTCTATATGAAACATCGATTTGATTTATAATTCGAAAGATTTTTCTTTGTTCTTAGTTTTTCTGATCAGATAAATATTTTTACTAAAGATTTCAGATAAAAAAACTTTTTCATTTGATTGATTTTGCAATGCACCATTCAAACACTGTGCTCTTTGATCTGCAATTTGATTTTGATGCAGATTAACAAGTGTAAATGTCTCTATTAAAAAGTAAAAAAAGAAACATTATTGAGTTTGTACTTCAATACTCATCAATGTTCTTTTCTTTAGGATATGATCTAATTGATTATTGTGAAAAAAAATTCTTTTTCTGATCATTTTATCTGTTCAATAATTTTAAAATATGGAAAAGAAAATCTTTTCGAGTATAAAAGTCACCGACTATGTTTCTAAAAATGTCTCTGAATCATTAGTTTTTTTCTTTTATTTTTAGATAATATTCAAAGAAAGTTTTTTGGTTGTAAAATCAATCTAAAGATTGAAAATGTTTAAGAATATTTCATTAAACAGTCAGACCGCATCCTCAAATACTTTCTAATCAACGTTCATAAAGATTCTGGAAAATGAATGACAATAATTATTGATAGATTCTGATTTTAAATCTTTATTTCATTTTTTTAATTTTTTCTATGTTTTTTAGTATTCGATTTAATTGATTTTCTCGATTTATTAAATGAGTTCGACCGATTCGAATATCGAACATGAGCTTCATAACTTTTCCTATTCCTGAACCTCTTTTCATGTTTTGATTTTAGACAACAAATTAAAAATATTTTATTGTCATTAAGACAAATCCATTGGTTGTGGCTGATTAGATCTTTATTATTAGTTAAAAAGATTAAATATTTTGAAATATCAGACAACATTGATACAATCAGATTCTATTAATATAATTATATGAATGGAAGTCGAAAGAAAATTATTTCATGAAGCTTTTTGATAAATTACGCACAATAGGAAACTTTCATCAAGTAATAATAGAATATTAATTTTTGTAGTTAAAGTCTAACAGAAAAACTTAAAAGCACTAAAATACCTTTTTTGAAGAGAATTTTTCGATTAATTACATAATTAGCAGAAATTGAGATAATAATGGAAAAGAACATTTGCTAACTTAGTCAGATCATAGAAAACACATTTAAGAAGAAATGTACCTTACGATGACTTTCTAGAAAGTTTTAACCGAAAAAAGTTATTTTCGATTTGTTTAATAAGAAATTAATGAATATTTGTATTTATTCAAATTGAACAATATGAAAAGAAAAAATGATCATAAAATGGATATTAGAATAGATTCTTACATATTTGACCTTCAATTAATGATATATAAATAAAGAAAACTAAATAAATTTCTTGAAATTGTCATGATCATTGAAGCTGGAAAACATTTAGAGTCTATAATAAGTGCATATTCTAGTTTTTCGATTCTAAAATTCGATATTTTTGCAAAATTAGAACTTTATGATAAAAGAAGGACCATTAATTTTGTCTATCAAAATAATTCTTTTTATGGAGTATTTCAAATATAGTTGAGAAAAAAAATACTTATTTATTTTTCCTGAAAAATCCATTTCATTTCTAACCGAAATTGATTAGTTGTAAAAATAGTGTTGACTTTTTCATAAAAACTCTATTGCTAATGAGATATTATTGTTACATATGACGGAAACTTTTCTATTCTTTTGTTTGCTAGATGAAAAATCTATTTTTTATAGTTAATCAAATATTCTTATATGCAAAAGATAGTTCTAACGTTTGATTAAAATTGAAAATTTATACAGTTAATCGTCTGTTATAATGATACTAGTCTAATTTATTTTTTTTTTATTATTAGAGACTAATTTCATTGTAGCTGAATTAATTATTAAAATGGAGATATATTAATTTTGATTTATTAGTCAATGTTATAATAGATTTTAACTTTATTTCTATTGACTTTTTCTCTACATAAATTTCTATAGGCACAGTAGATTTTATCATGGGTAATATATTTCTTCCTTCTCATATTAACACTAAAAGCTAATATAAAACATTACTAAACTTATCGGATTTGTGATTCAAGTCAAATTTATCTTTTTTTCTTATATTCAAATTCTCATAATCGAAAAAATTATCATCTCTTTATGTTGAACGAATAATGTTAGTTTTGTTATTTGCATTCTAAATGTATCACTATTTGAAATATTCTATAACAGAAGATTGATTATTGTATTTGGAAAAAAAATATCATT